GGGGGGGGGGGGAGGGGCGGAAGAGAGAGGATTAACATAAAGGCGATATTTTCACGCCTAACGAAGGTATAATTTATCAAAGTGAGGGATGAGAGAAGAAAAAGGTATACGCACTTAACGAAGAGGGCATACATATCGATTGAATTTCAATTTCAATGAACTCCAGGGCTTTCGAAAGAATTCACATTGCGTAGGATGCGATCGAATGAAATTTCAATTGGAGCGGAATTCATAGTCGATATATCAAAAGTTGGGAGCTCCTTGACAATTTGATTGGAGAGAGGTGAATTTTTCATGGGGGGATTCATTCAATCATGTAGTTTTTTATGGCAGTTTGAGTAGAAATAAATTTTTCGGTTCAGAACGGAATATTCGTTGTCATTTTACTGACGAATCATTGATTATTTGAAATCATAAGTTAAATCAATGAATTTCGATTTTTTTCTCGGCAGTCGAGGAACTTGAATATTCAGTTTTGTACCAACTGCAACAAGTGTAGTTTATTTTACTTCCTTGCTCAGATACTGCAGCCAAACATCCGAAATGGGGTAACGAAGGGGCACTTGTGACGTAGCATGTTCGGGAAAATTAAGATATATATCCCAAGACAATACTACTCAAAAGGTAGTTCGTATGGATTTCCGGGAAAAAATTCCAAAATTTCTTTTTTATCTAGGCTGTTAAAGTTGCTAAGCAACAAGAATTGAAAAAATTGAAAAACAAAAAGAAGGGGCCGATCAATAGTAATTGGAAAACATTTGAAAATTCGTTCTCTCGAACAAATTGTGAATAACGAAAAATTAGAAAAATGTAAGATGTTTCAGAACAACTTTTAATGCTTTTTAGGTATAGATGAAATCCTATAGATGAGTCCTGAAGGGACTAATTTGAAAGATTTTGAAAAAAAATTGACTGGATAAAATTCTGGAAAATTTCTAAGACTCACGGGAAATGTCAAAATGAGTCTTGAATGAGGGACTGTTCAATAAAATCTGATACTAATTATTTTTGCACCAGAAATGAAATGTTTGATCCTAATGGCAGGATCCACTCGGAATTTTCAATCAGGATTCATCAGAACCTGATCGAAGCCTAATCAAATCATCTGACCAAGAAATCTTGACCAGGCATTCCCAGATGGTCCAAGTCCATTTCCAAATATTACAATTATGTTCAATTATGGGATGATTATACTACCTATAGCCTTGAATAAACTCCCTTGACAATTATTAACATTTTGAATTATTCCAAATCCTTTTCCATAAAAAAATCTCAAACTTGAACAAATTGAAAAATAATGAAGGATGTTCATTCAATGTCAGTTGTAGCATAATCATTTTATAATCCAACATGAATCTAATATTTGGGATGGGCATAGACCATCTGGGAATGACTGGGCTGGAGAAATACGTTCTTAAAAAAATAAATTCTTCTCCAAGAAAACGATTCCTTGGCAAAAGTAACTTTCTTTCTCCGTCCAATCTGAGTAAAATTTTCACTGGGTTGAATGGATGCAACAGCAATTAACAATTCATTAGCTTACCGGCCATGACGTCGTGGCAGCGGTGGTGGTACAGGGCTGTGAAAATTATCCATCATAGAATACGGGTCCCGCTCAACAGTTTTTCTATCCAAGCTCTCAAGCTGATCTAGTCTCAGTAGTTCAGCCTCACGGGGCGAATGCAATTCACAGTGTGTTACATGCAACAATGGCCTGAGTGATGATACATTGCCATCGTTACATCTCTGCTGTGTCTGTAAATGGGCACGTGGGGCCCCGGGCCCAACGACAACCTGATGGTCCTCACCATCCGTTGCACGTTGTTCGTCACCCCAAACCTCAAATTCACCCGCCGCCGAGTAATCACCAAATCCACCGTTACCCTTCACCGTGTCAACTTTAATAATACCAGTTGGTTGACGTTTTTTACGGATCGTTGTGCCACCGAACCGCACGGGTACAAGACCCCGCGGTGATGACAATACGATATCCTCGTGATTATCCTTTTCACGTTTATGATTGGACTTTGTACGTTGCCGTGATGGCAACGACAGGGAAAATGGAAAAATGTTACTCCTATTTGTGCGAAACGGCGTCAGAGTTACGGCCTCTCATTCAACTTGTTTAATAAATTCCGGGATACACCTCCCCAACACACTGATAACACACACGGCTAATGGCCCCTCACTTTAATCACTTCACTGAATTTTCAAAAAAAAATGTCAATAAACGATGGAGTGAAGCCGCCACTTAAAAATTCAATCGGCGTCGATAAAATTCCGGGGGAATTAGCTTTCGTATTCAATGAGTGACAGCGATTCTTTACCCTGTTTTTTTTTTCTCGTCTAGACGAGGTGGAGAAATAGAGGAACGAAAAATAGTGTCTGACACGAGCTGAAGAAGTTTAAAACAGCGTTAGGGTAGGCAGACAAGGAATGGTGGGTAGAGCTGTGGAAAACTCAGGGATTCCAAAGTTCCTTATCGATCTGTCAACGCCAGTGAGAAAGTTTTGAATCGTTCTCCGGCGAGCGATATCTTCCACTGGAAATCCACTCGACACTCTGGTCTCTTTCAAATCCTCCAATTCACCGAGTAGTATTCGTTGCTACCCTCAAAAACGTATTGTCATTGTGTTATTTTCTTTTTGAGAATTTTTTTTCCCTACTGCACTCGAGAACCACGATCTTTTCCTCAACCCAACACTTTTACGTCTTATGTCAGTGGAAAATTTCCAGCTGGAATGATATTTTTGCAGTGAGGAGTAAGCTCGCTACGACAGAGTCAGCCCTCGGGGAATATCTCTCTGTCGGTCGTTGAGCTCCAAGGCAACTGGGTTTGCGCGCACACGGAAACCCAATTTCCAACGTGCAACGTTGGGGGGTATAACGTGTAAGCGGCCTGGAGAGTGTCACCGGCGATTAAACCAAGAGCCACTGGTTGGTACGCTGGGGAAACCTAATTGGGTCACGCGGACTGGCAAATACGATGGGAATCCTTACTCCCCCTCACTAAGGGTAATGACTGGAGAAAAAACTTTCTACCTTCTTGTCTATTTTTATTTACTCGACACTAGATCTTGTACGAGCCCTTACGTCTATATTTTCCCGAAGACTCGCGTTAATTTAATCCTCCACGATGCAAACCGAGTGAGTTTATTGTTTTTGTATTTATTATTGAGATAAATGTCACACACACTTCACGTCACAAAATTAAAAAATGTTTTCCTCGATGTTGATGGTTCAGTCGGATATTCCTGTGATTTCGTTTATCGATTTTGATCAATTTTCGTTGTACAAAATTTGGAGCAATTTTTTTTTCAATGATAACACACTTGCTCGCAGGTTACTTGGGGGTGTTTACACATAATGACGAAGTGATATGCACCCGCGTTAACAGCGGATCAAAGACTGGAGGCCACGGCGCCGCAGTGCCCGGCACAAAGTGACACTGGAGCCTCCCCACTACTTTGGTACGCGTTTGAGCGCGTGCGCTCGTCCGGTTCTCCTTCTACCCTCCGTCCTTTCTCGTCTTTCTACATCGTGGAGTGAGCCTCTCACCCCTCCCTTCGTAGCAACCCTCTACGCACCCTTGGTCCATGCACTGTCCTTCTCGTTCCTCACTGTGCAACGAACCGCCGTGGCACGGGCCCGTTTACCGAGGCGGGATGTAACTATGTACGTCACTTGTGCGTGAGGAAGTACAGTTGTAGTGGTGGGGGTCGTTACAGTGCCCTCTCCCCCCGCGGTGGTCTCACGAACCCTTCAGGAACGATCTCTCTTGGACTTGGAGTTTGTCGTTTTCATCTATACAACATCTATACACACGTTGTGATAAATATATGCGAAAGGGGGATGCGTGAAATACCGAGGGCTTGGAGGAGTCACTTCATGAGACTGGAGCAAGAGATTCTTGGAGAAATTACAACCTTTTATTTAAGCAGGTTAGGATGGTGTTGTTGGGTGGGTGATTTTTTTGGCATATTTTTGCTTCCGCATGGAAGCCTTGTATTTGACCAATTTTTTCATTTTCTGATTTTGGTTACAAATGGTCTAGAATGTTATGAAACTCGTGAGTCAGGGGTCTGGATGAATAGGGCAAGAGTAAATCACCATAGCTTGACTGAGGACCTTAATCATGTATTTTGGCAATGCCCCTTGTATGGTACACCACGAGTGAAAATGATCTCCAGTCTACGTGCAAAAGGATGTTTACCACCTTATCATATTAGACCTTTCTTATGTAAAACTAATTTTTCATGAGTGAAAATAATAGATAATTTTGTTAAAAGCAGTGAGCTATCTATATAAGTTAACACACTATTATTCTATTTATGTACAATAAGTAAGTTTACAAATTTATATTTTTTTTCTCTTCTCAGCATAATAAACTTGTAAGTTTGGAATGCTTAAATAAAGAAAAATGTTATGAAACGGGAAAAAACAATGTTTTTAGGGAGAGGGGCTGGTCGCTCCTCAATCGGGTGGTTCAGTGATTTCCAGAATGAGATGATTTCCTGTGATTTCTGAATAAGAATTAGAAATCATGATTTCGTTTGATTTCTCGGGATTTCTGATGGTTTTTTGATTTCAAGAAATCACTCGCAAAATCATGATGTCGAGGCCAAAGTTTGGCATCTGTCGATAATTGCATGTGGATAAGATTCGGGGAACCAAATAGTTTAGAAGGGTCTAATAGATGTGACAGTAAGAATCAAATGACATGTGTATGAGAAGGTCATGAGGGTGAGACGGGATCGTATAAGTGAGCTCGAATAAAAAATTTGGTGATGATTTCTAATTATTTCTGAAATCACCTGATTTCTTTATGATTTCCAATGATTTTCAGAAGTCATTAGAAACTAGTACCGAAAATGGAAATCACTTGATTTCCAGTGATTTCTGGTGATTTCCTCCTTGATTTCCAATCGAGTGGTTCAGCGATTTCCTAAGAGAGCAGTTCCTCGTTTTAGGGTCATGTATGTGAGAACTTGGGTTTTTGATGATTAATTTTTACAAAATTCAACATGAATACGTTGAAATTTGTAGATAAAAATCAGAAATTTTGGCTCATTGTGGCTATGATTGAGCTCTACTTTGGCGCGCTGTTTCAGCCCGATCGGTCCAGTACACGGAGAGAAATATTCAATAAAAATTACCAGAAAAAAGACGTAAAAATTACATTTCGAAACGTAATCTGGAAGCGAAGTAAAATTCAATATAAAGTGTCAATCGTCAGGTAAATTCAACGATCTGTTCTGTAAAAATTACTCATCCGTCCGACGCCTCACGGCTAGCCATGCGTCACCGTGAGCGGGAGATTTTAACAACACGTTCCGTAATTTTTCCGGAACTTTTCGTAAAAATTCTTCCATTAAACATCCAAGAATTTTCATGTTCTGAGGCATAATAAGTCTTGAAGTTTCTGTTAGATTTTACAACTTCCAGAAAAATTACGTGACTTTTTCGTATTTTTTCGGTGACAGATCCGAAAATTTACTGAACGTTTCAGATTTATTCTCTTATATTCCTATAGAAATTCACTGAAAACGATTCTCGCTTGCGGATTACGTGAAATGTTCCGTAATTTTTCTTGAATATTTCTCTCCGTGTAGTTCCTGAGATATAACACTTATTTAAATTTAGGTTTTCCTCAATATCTCAAAGACTACGGCACCGATATTTAACCTTTTGCATAAATCTATTTCCTTAAAAGGTTGAAAATCTTCCCGTAGACACCCTGCAGCATGTCGTTACGGTTGTATGCCTGTCATAAGGACAGGGAGCTACTACGGATTCATCCGGGAGCTTACTACCAATGGAATTGGTAGAAATGAAAAAAGAAAAGGACTAATAACGCAAAAAATAACGGTCATATGCCTTCTGTCAGAGAGGCTCGAACCCCTGCTTGTTTTTCAACCCTTTTAGCTCAGGTTTTAAGGAAAGAATTTCGTCAGGGTAATGCATTGCTGGAGAAAACAAAAGTTTTTATTTTCAAGGACATGTCACTGATTGTTAGTACTTTATCCCTAGTTTTTAGGAATTCATTACCGAATTTCAGTGATAGTAATCACTGATAATCAGGGTTATTGCAGTCAGTGTTCAGTGTCAACAATAATTGATAGATTCCTAGAAATTAATGATATGTCCTTAGAAATCAGTGAAATGTTCTTGAAAATGAGTGACATCTTCCTGAAGTTAAAAAGAATTGTTTTCTGTATTGAAAATTGTTTGGGGAGATTTCAATTTTCTATTCGATCGTAGAGGAGTCAAAGATTGACGGCTTATTATTTCTGTTTGATTGTAGATATTGTTTTGTTCTGATGTTTGAAAACAGTTTTTGACAGAATTAAAAAAAATCTCGAGTTTCTGCATGCTGGTAGAAGTTTATCGGAATTTGATTGCCAATTACATCAGGTGGTTGCGTGCAGTAGTGGGATTTTTTAGAAATTCACTGACAATCGTAATTGAATTGGGATTGAAATTTTTTTTCTCCGTGTGTAAGAATTTGGAGAATTTTATCGAAAATTCATATTAATGCAATGTTATTAAAAAGTTCTCGATTTCTATTAATTTTCCCAGAATAATTGAATTAAAATTCATTTTCATTGATGTCTTCATCAAATTATTGATTTTTAATGATTATTTTTCCAACTCAAATATCGAGCAATATAATTGGCCCATTCGACATCACGTGGTACAAGCGACAGGGTTTTTAACTGATAATTTTTTGATCATTTTCTCTGGTAGTTGCTATATAAAAAACAAAACATCATGCAGTCGAATTAACCCCTCGTCAAACTGACAGATTGAATTCAATTGTGTCGTTGTGTTAATTATACAATTTTCGTTTCTCAATTGTGAGTTTCGTCTCATGGTCCAATTATATTGCCCGACATTTGGATTGGAAAAATAATTCCCCGAATACCACACGAACTTCAAAATTAATCGGGCATTTTCCTCAAGGTTCCCTGCATATAAACGAAGTCGTCAAGTTTTTCAGAATAAAAAATCACGAGTGCGAAGCACGAGTTTGTTTGTACGAACCTATCTAACGAACTTATCGGAAAATACCCAATAATTTTGAAGCTCTTGTGGTATTACAAGTGACGAAATTCTTTAAAATTGCAGTGGAACAGTCGCTACATAAATTTTTTTTTTTAATTTACCGGAAGCTCACTACGTTGACGATTCCTGTAATTTTTATTGAAATTATAAAACTTAAATTTTGGATCTCGTTTTGAAAATTGAACGTCACCGTATTAGACTCAATTTTAATGACGAATTGAAAATGAAATTCTAATTCAGTTACATCATTATGTCAAGCTGAATTTCTCAAAGAATTTTGCCAAAATTAGATGGTCTTCCTGCAATTAAATATATATCTAAATCACCTATACGGTTGAATATTGTTGTGATTTATACCAGAAATTTAAAGGAAAATCTCCTATCAGTGTATGTGCGACCCAAAGTTTCGAATGCATGATATAATTTCAAAATTTTCGGAATGCCCCTCTGATAAATTTCAAACATCATACGTAATCGGAATGCATTCAATTACTGAATGAGAATATAAATCGAACGAGAGTGTCGATAAGAGTGTTTCTCTAGAGGTACTCCGCTTAATTAAATAGAAGATATTCATTTCAAAATTCCGATGGAATTCCATCCATCCCACATTCCTCGAATACATTGCATTGCATTGCATTGCATTGTTTTTAATGTACATTATCGCAGGAATGTCGAGACTACAGAATATCTGCACCATTAAATTAAACGACCCCACTGAATTATTCTTTATTTTTAATTCCTCAATAATAACAATTATAGACATCACAATTTCCAGCTTCCCAAAACATTTATATTTAAATTCGTGTATAATTCAGCATCGGAAATGCTCAAATCCGTAAATCCCCGAGTATTAATATTTCTTCCTAATTCACATCACCTATTCACAAAAAAGAGAACTGAAATACTGCCAGTTTTACGCTCGCGTATAAACGTAAAAATACTCCCCCGAGTACCAACTCCACCCCCAACCCCTTCATTTCCCCTCAATAAACCCATAAAAGGCGGAAGTAAAAATGAAAATGAATTCGTTCGACGAGAGCCAAACCACTGGTCAACAATATCCACAACCATTGCTGAAAAAAAATAGTCTATGACTAGAAGGATCATCGGACAGAGTCAATCGAGTTGGAGTGAAATTGGTGAGTACGTCTTATTTACGACCCCCCGCGTATTCAGTTCTTGCAGCGCACTGCACTTTTTAATCCGTCGACACTCGGTCTAATGACGTAGAAGGATTTTTGCGCTTTCTCTTTTTTACGAGTCTACGAGTGAGACTGAATAAAAAAAGAAAAGGGGGAGGGGGGGGGGAGGGACTCAAAGTGCCGAGGCAATCGTGGGTGAGGGTTAGGAGTCACGAGAGGAGAAATACTTTCAGCGTATCGCGGAACGCTTTACGATCCCATGGGACTCAGGAGTCATCGGGTCGACTTTTAGAATCCCGCATTCTTCTCGAGGGCAAAAAAGCCTTTAAAACTGGAAAATAAGGGGTGGAGAGAAAAATAAAGAGAAAAAAAAAGAAATAATAAAACACCGTAAAAACACTAGTGGCTGATAAAGTCGTGAAAAAATTGACGATTCACAATGTTTCCCTTACCCCTTCCGTCAATCCACTTCAATATTATTAACATTTGACGCCGATATTATCGTTGAAGCCAGCAATCATTTTCATTTCCTACCTCATCATCATTATCCGCCAGTGGAAAGAGTTGGGCTGTTGTACCGTAAAATTCACCCAGACAAAATTAATTTTCAACCGACGATGCTTGTCTCCTTACCACGCACAATGATATCAAAAGAGAGGGGGTGGAGATGTAGAGTGGAGAGAAAACTATTTGAGGCGCGCCATACCATGGAGAAAGAGAAAAACCTTCAATGGAATCTTTGATGCACAGAGGAAGATGCTCGTATAAACATCAAGGGTTGGGGGTAAGTGAGTGTACCTGCTTCATGTGCAAACTTATTGCTTCTTATATTCAAGATATGCGCTGGATTATACTGAGTAGATCCACTCGGAAAGCTATTCTGGATTGCAGAAAAATGGGAATTAATGCTACAAAATGTTGACGTAACCGTCATTCTATGTGAATTAATGTTTTCCAAAATGATAATCCATCGCTATTATAAACATTTCTGTATCTCGGCCGGAATCAGAGACATTGGTCAGAAACTCACCCTCAAATTGCATTGACTCCTCTTGTTTTGTCCGTTCGTCATTTTGACGTCATCATAGATGATGGATTATCATTTTTTCAAGTGAAATATTGTCCCACTATAGAGTAATCGACTAGAAAATATTTCTAAATGATATTCGGAAAGGATTTCGAAATTTGGAATTTTCCAAATTTTTTCGATTTGTTGAATATAGTGGATTATCGGTTATTACACTGGTTTCTACTCGGTAAACTACTATTCATATCGACTTCCAATATCACCTTAAGAAATCAAATCAATGAATCAATCATCTAGAAACTGTTGTAATTTAGCTCTTCAAATATTCAATCCGATAAATCAATTAATAGAAAAAAAACGAAAGTATTTAATAAGAAATTGAAAGTGAGCGATCCGATGTAATAAACATTAAAAGATTTTTCATTTGTTAAATTCTTTGAAACTCGTATTACACATTCAAGTGAATTGAATCGATTAAATATCGTATTTTTCATTTTAAAATCGCAATTAATCAAATTTCAGAATAACCAGAGGGAAATTATGTATAACTCAGGAGCATCTTTTAAAACGATGCAACACACGGAGAGAATAATCTGTTACGAGATCCCCCTTAATTCTAGCAATTGTGCAGTGTATTGGACTTTCAAGAATTTTTACTAGAACTGAGATAGTAAATTCAACTTCTAATGAAAACTAGAATATAATACATATTTATTACTTTTCATCCTAACAAGATTCAGGTAATCAAGTTTCATGGTTTTTTGTAATTTGGTTGCTTTAGATATCATGTTCACAATAGTTAACGTAATGGAAACAGAGACAATTGTTTGGTTCTTTGTTTTACTTGTTGCGCAGATTTCATAAACTGGCCCAGAGATTTAATAAGAGGATCTAGAGAGTTGAAAGCTTACTATGAGTAAGAAGCGTTGAAAGAGAGGAAGAATCACAATATTTTCATGAGAATCCACTTGGAATATTACAATTTTTTATTTTACCCCTGGAAGGCCACTACACTATTAGAAAAAAAAATAAAAATTTCACAGCCACTTGATTCGTAACTTTCAGGATAGTGCCATTGAATTTGCTTTATGGGGAAAGAAAATGATGAAATTTGAGACTACTCGAACATACTTCAATTTCCGATTAAAGTAGTATATCCAAACTCCACGTGAGTCGTTGACTGTAACGAGGATAAATAAATTTGAAATGTCCGAAAAAAAAATTATATGGATTCTATCTTTGACGAGTGTGAGATATTAATTCATCAAATTCTTTGACAATTATTTTCTTAAACAATAGTCTCTCGTTTGACTAGGGCAACTCTGTAAATTCGGTGAAAATTCGGTGTTGTTGTAGTTCACACTGAATGGTGTCGAATTTTTCACTGTGTTAATAAACTTATCAATATCGCTTGCATTTTAAAGAAGAGCTCGGCATTAATTTCACTCTGAAATTGGGTTGATTCTAACAACAAAATATTTTACTACATACACCATGGACTTGAACACTGTGGATTTTTAACTGTGAAGGAGTCAGGTTTTTTTTCTGAAAAACGTTAGAAAACATTTTCATCTAATTGAAAATTCAACCTATATTTACTAGAATTTCTTTGATGTCTATTAACTTTCACGGAATAAATGAACTAAACTCCACCCTTTCCATTGATTTTTCCATCAAATTTTGAATTTTCAATAACAAAATTCCCTGAGATTTTAGTGAAACTATAATCTGATGAAAATTTCTGATAAAAATCTGATAAAAATGAGAAGTTTGCCGGATGTTATGAATAATTCTTTACGGATTTTCCTCTCCGAAAACTCAATCTGAAAGCCATATCCCCGTTTCCGCCTGCCCCCTCCGAGAAACAAATTAAACATCTCAAAAAATCCAGCGATCTCAAAAGCTCCCTCATTAACAAAACCAAACCAAATTAACGAACCCGCCATATCGAACCTCCTACTCCCCATTACTGAACTGACCTTGTAACAAAATACTCAGTCGACCCGGGGGCCATTCAACTCCTCCGAGGTGCACTCAATCGCTTACATACGCGCGTATACCATATTACACCGTCGGGTTATCGGGTAGCATCGACATAATCGACTCGACCGATCGTATCCATATTTAATGGCATCGGTAAATCAAGCGTACACTTGATGCTCATCGAAAGGCTAACGTCGAAGCAACTAACACTGTAGCTGTATGTGTTGGTGGGTGACAAACACCACCCGGTACTATGGTTAACGATGAAGAGAGAGGGTGTCCCGTGGACGCCCCCCCCCCTCCCCCCTGCAGGGTTGAGGTGTTGTCGGGAAGGTAACAATCCACTAACAAATGCAATTAAACTAATAATTACAGATTTATTATCCACGTCAAATTAATACAAAAGTGAAGAGGAAATAATATGATCCGAGCAAGTGTGCGATACGAGCTGTACTGTTATACTAAATTATAGTCGCACGGAAAGGTATCAGCGAGGCTGCCGAATTTCCTTACGATTTGACGAATCAGAAAAGAATACGCGTGGCACTGAAGGTGCGAGTGAGACAGCAAATGCCTGTGCTCGTCGTTAGCCAGTGTTCGTGTGTTAGGATGTAGCGACGCGCTACACCTCCCCGCCCTCTCCTCTCCACCCACGACAACAACTGTCCAAAGTATCGATCCATTGTCGGTACTGGCAATAAGGGCGCAATTTTACCCTCTTGCTTACTCACATCTTGCGCGTACTCCCTTGAAAACGATCGAAGGGAAGTTTAATTATCCCCCGGTCGGCTTTGCCACTCTTGGATGCTCTTACAAACACACACACGCACACACACATACCCATACACACGTATTTTTCCTCCTCCGGAGACGTACAAGGGAAGATGGATGGAGAAGTTGTTTTATCCCTCCTCCCTCTCCCTCTCGTCACTCACCCTCTCTTTTCTCTTCGCTATTCACCCACTGAAATCCACCTACTTGGGTTGGCCTACAACGTTTACCCTTTTAGTGGGGGCCCCCCGGATCCCGTGTATGTATGCTCTTGCGCCCGATGTTAGACTCACAAGTGGAGGAAGTGGGTTGGAGGTGGATGAAAGAGGGGAGGAAGAGAGAGAGAGACCGAGATGTACACCATTCTTCGTGTTTTGGCCCCGAAACTACGAAACTCTCCTGAAACCTCCGTTGGCATGCCATGTACGGGAAAATTCCCCGGTGCACTGTCTCGCTTCCTTTGATGTCGACTAAACAGAAAACGTCACGCCTGTGTGTGTTGGCGGCTGTATCACCACAGACATACCGGGATTTTTCGGGTTTTTCCTGTGATTTTCGTTTTATTTTGGTTATTTTTGCGAGCCATGGAGTATGCTTGTGTCACCTATACGCGGCCTAGCGTAGACCGGCTGTGTCTTATCTAAAATCTCTTTGCCATTATCAGCCGGGTTAGAGAACTTTCATCGTACAGTGGTTGAGGGGAAAATTTTTTGCGCTCTCTGCCATTTCGTTTGGCCTTTTTCGCATCTTTCTATGATAATACGACGACACAGTCTTTCATGTTGATGATGATATCAAGATGTGAGGGAGGGTACATCTTTGAGGATGCCGGGTAAATGAAGAATATGACATTTCTTTTCCTCTCAGTTTTTTTTTACAAGATCTATGCGCGCGCTGTTCTATTCATTTGTTGAAATGAAGAAATGGAATTCATTAAATTTGATTTTCTCATGAATACCTTATAAATATTGATAATGAATCAAGGAGAATTCGACTAATGATTGAAGTGAATAGCGAAGTAGAGTAAAAGAATCTATAAAGAATTTTTCATTTTCAATTAATTATCTTCAATTGTCTAAAATAATCGGTCTCCATAAAAGGACAGAATTTATTAATTTCACCGATAATATATATACATGTGAAGTATATATATATATATATATATATATATATATATATATATATAAAATTTACCACTGAAAAATTTGAAATTATGTCACTGAAGAATTTGAAAATGCCGCGTGTTTTTTTTGTGAATAACTTCGTGTCACACGAAGGATTAAGGATTAGCGGTCAGGTGGTTTTGAGATATTTCGATATAAAACAACTTCACGTTTCTTTCATCCTTAGGAAAATAGGATTGTTTAAAGTGCTCAACTCTGAATTGAATTATTTACACTGCCGCTTATTACAACAATATTGGGTGTAGCCCATCGCCTATAACAGTTATTGGTTTTGCATATTTCTTAGCATTCTAATTTTTCGTCCTTCCAGCATAACACTTTTAAATCACATTCTTTAAGAAAATTACATATCTGCTCTACATATTTGTAGTCTGTTGCCTCCGCAAATTTTTTTGTGGTGTAGGGAGGGGGGGGGACAGTTCTTTGCTCTCAGCTTTTCGTTTAATTTCATTCTCTGCTGGTACTTCGGGTATTTCCATAGTATATGGTCGAAATCTTGAGATTCTGCACCACATGGACAACTGGGATCGTTAATAATACCTATTCTATACAAGGAGGCTTCACGGTGATAGTGATTTGCTCTAATACGGTTGATAGTAACAATGCTCTCTCTAGAGAGCTTGCAATCTTTATACCATGAACTTGAAGACTCCTTGTAGTACATATTGAAGTAGCCTACACCTTTCGATTTTTTTTCTGCACGCACGCTTGTGACGTAATCGCATTCCTTGTTCGAAGGTATTCTTCTCTTTTAAATGAGCTTCTGTAGTCGGTGTGAGGGATATTCATTTTGGTACTCAGTAGTCACATTATCAGCCACTCTGTCGACTCTCCCATTGCCTTCAATGCCTTGGTGGGATCGAATCCACAAAAATTTAATTTCTGTATGATTTTGACTATTTTTGATAATTTTGATATAGATTTCTCTAATGTCCGTTATGTAGGGATTTGATTTCACTCTAATATACTAGAGTTGAGGCCTTGTAGAGCACTGAGGGAGTCCGAGAGTATGGCGTATTTTCGCTCTGGGTTCTCTTAGGGAATACGAAGTGCGAGACTAAGAGCAATACATTCTGCGGTGTAAATTGATGCGTAGCTACTAAGTGT